TAGTATTGTACTGTCACAGAGCAGTAAATACTGTAGTATTAGTACTTATATTGTAAGATCGTATCTGAACGGATCTTCTTCTTCGTCTCTTTATAAACAGACTCACCTCTCCAGGTTCCGGTTCCGACCCGCCGCAGCAGCGCATTCATCCTGGAGACTGTTGTTGTGTTCTAAGAGTTTGAATAAAGTTTAATGAAACACTAATAAAACTAGAGGAACAGTAAGGATCACAGACCGGAAACAGATGAAAGCACGAGGAGGAAGTTCAACCGACAGTTTAAAGATCGGGCTGTCATTGTGCTGCAGTCAGGGACTGTCGGAGTTCTCACATTAATGTGGTCACTGTACAAAAAACAGGACAAACAACAATATTAATATTAATAATAGTAAAAGTAAAATTGATATACAGCACTCCTCAAAACTGACATTGTCAGTTTATTCATAAACATTTCAAATTCATTCTTTATACTTACAAGTCATTAAAATGAGCTCAACCTTTAAAGTGATGAACACATTAATGCAGCAACTATTATAATACTATAATAAATTACATTATTCTGAATATATTATTCTGCATAATGAGTACTTTTACTTTTGGTACTTTAAATATATTGTTGTGTCTTTACTTGAGTAACATTTTCAATGCAGGATTTTTTACTCGTCACAGAGTATTTGTACACTGTAGTATTACTACTTTTACTTAAGAAAAATATCTGAATACTTCTTGCACAACTATCGATGATATAATGTAATATGATATAATATAATATAATATAATATAATATAATGTAATATCATGTAATATCATGTAATATAATGTAACACAAAGGCCATTTATCCTGCAGAGTGAATTTTAATTTACACATTAAGTACATTTTTCCATCGATATTTACAGACTTTTAATGACGGGGGTTTTGAATATACGGACTTTCTTGTTGTTAAATATTTTTACTTTTCCTTAAATTAAGGTTCTGAATACGTTTTAATTCACAAAGTGACAACATAATGATTGTATTTTACTAAGGAAGCTCAGAATTCCGAGCTTTACGAGGTGCTCTCAAAGGCATTTAAGATTACAGGACTGTCGTTCTGTCCTTCAACCATAAAGTTTTATTAAAATATTGAAAACAAAACTATAAATGAATCACAAAGCAGCTGGTAAGTTTTATCCGGTAATTATTCATATATAAACCATTAAATATGTTTTAAACAGAAGTTCAGTCGACATTGTGTCCGGCACGGAACTTGTCAATAAAGTTTTACATACAAACTCAACTACGTCACTAGGGTTCAATAACCAGAATATAACTTCTATATATATATATTTAATTTTTTTAATGTATAGATAACATTATTATTGTGTTTAAATGATGACTGTCATAAAGTCATGATGTGTTACACACTCCGATCCAGTAGGTGGCGGTAATGCGCCTTACACGTTGGAAGAAGAAGACCGACTACGTCACTGTCATGGCGGCGGCGGACTGCTGGAGCTGGTTTCCAGCGTTAGCTCTGGGAGTTTCTTTGCTGAAATGTCTGTTTATCAACGCATAGTGAGTGGGAACACTTTGATGGGAACCAGTTACACTCAACGCGGCAGCTCCAGGACGATTCTCTCTTCTTATAGATAGATAATGTAAAAGTTGTCGCGACGTCTGTTAGCATCCGGCTAACACACTGAGGAGCTAGTGTTAGCTACAAGCCGGGAAATACTATTTAAAATTACATATTCACGTTAAAGAAGTTTTGTAAGCATCGATTCCAGCAGAAAAAGCAGCGATACGATCTGCGTGCCTTCTTTATATACATTATAGTTTTTATGAAGAGAAGATAGTTGGTGTAACATAACTTGACGTGTTGTTAACTTCCAGGGTAATGGCGCCAAACAGCCACAAGATGGCGCTTTTTCTCATCCGAAGTTTGTTTAGAAGCTGAGTTCTAAAGTTTCAGACGGATTAATAACTATAATTTACAATCTGTCATTTCTAGCTCACGTGTTTGAATGATTTTGTCTTTGTTGCGTACACTTATATCCTTTATGGAGGCGGAAGTCTTTACAAACGACTTGCACACGTCATGAAACAAAAGTGAGTTTATCAATACATGAGAGTTAAGTTCTGGTCATTTCTGCATTAATACAATACAATAATCATAACGACAGGCTTCAATATTGTGTCTTAAATATTTAGTGACATCCTGAAGAACGTCTAGCTCACGTATTTGAATGATTAAGTCTTAAAATGTTACATTTATTTGATCCAAACCTCAAAACAACCCTCACAATTTAAGGGTTTCTCTCATATTTGTCAATGTATAAACGTCTTAAAACACAAGAGAGTATATCAATAGTCAGTATTAACAACTGGTCATTTCAGCATTAATATAAAGAAGCAGCACAGTCTGTACACTTATAGCTTAAATTCTGTAGTTGTGGCTTTATTTCTCTCACTGATACAAGTGTGTCGTAATCTGTGTTAAATGATCTCACTTTAGGGTTCCTCGGGAGGTTTTTAGGGAACAATAATAAAAAATGGAAAAACTAGACGTGTACTGTTCCTAGTGAGTCTAGATTAAGTGTCATTTTTTCTGTATGGAGTCTGGTGTGTCTTCGCCCTCCAGACTGGCCTGTTGTTAATCTGTGTCCGTCTGTCAGTCACTCCACAGACTTCGAGGTGCACAGGAACTGGTTGGCCATCACTCACAGTCTGCCGGTGTCCAGGTGGTACCACGAGGTCAGCACGCTCAGTCCTACATCTAGCTCTGGTTTAAACAGACGTTTGCCTCAAACGAGCTTCACTTACATCCTGAACATTAAAGGTGCTCTCCGTAACATCACCCCCCCCCCTCACGTCACAACTGGTTCCCAGTTCAGTGAGCGATGCATGGAGGAGTCAGTACAGCTGTGTTGTGTATCTCCTGTTTGACGGGATTAATAGAGATTCAGGAAGTAAACGCTCTTGAAGACACATTTAGTGTTTCAGCTGATCCTGATCGTTGTGATGTTCTTGTGTTAGAAGTTTGTTTTGATGAATCTTTCTGGGATATTTGTGACAGAACTTAACCTAAAGTACGTTTCCTCTTTTCTTCACTTGATGGTTCATTTGAGGAGACCTGTAAACAGCGTCATGTTCGGAGATGCATTCCTTCTTTTAAAGACACTAATCTTAGTCTCTGAGAGAAACCGTACAGCTGGTGAACTACAGAGCGGTTTGGTCCCTGCAGAACTCGTCGGAGTGGACCCTGGACTACCCTCCGCTGTTCGCCTGGTTTGAGCTCGGTCTGTCCCAGGTGGCTCAGGTCTTTGACGGGGACATGCTGCTGGTGGAGAACCTGAACTACGTCAGCCCGTCCGCGGTGCTCTTCCAGAGGCTGTCGGTCATCTTCACCGACGTGGTTTTTATCTACGCTGCCAGAGAGTGAGTCTCGATTCTACCTTTATTATCTCTTATTAAATCCTCACAGAGCGGGTTTTATTTTCTTCTTCTTCTCTCCTTTAATAATTAATGTTCTAACAGAGGTCAAACTGTTTGATTCAGACTACAAATGTTTTATTTACATGTTGAAATAGTTTGAATGAAATGATTCAAACTTCCCACCGAGTCACATGACAGAATCCCGTTGAGTATCGATCAGTAAACACTGAAGAGGTTTAAACTGATGAGTTCAGCTGATGTTCCAGCAGTAACTCTACACTAACCTTCTGATGGTGCTGAGAAGTCTGAAGAAGTTGATTCCAGCATGTTCTAAGATGCTTTTATTGTGAAACTCTTGACACTGACACAGGAAACTGTTTAAATCTTCTCTTCTACTTCATCTGTTGCTCAGAGGATCTTTGTCTCTTTGAACACAGTTTTGTTCTCCGTCTACTAAACTAAACATCTATGAGTAAAGAGGACTTTCTACACAATAAAAGCATCATTTAGACATACAGTCTGACTGTTTAACGTTTAACCAGTAGGTGGCATCAAAAGTACATTTCTATCTTGTGTGTTCAAGTCAGACGGCAAAGTCCGGTTCTGCTGAGTGAAGCCGATGCTTCATGTGTTAAAGCTGCATTCTCTCTAGTGTCCACCAGGGGGCGACTCCTCTGATTGTGTAGAAGTCTATGATAAAATGACTCTACTTCTCTCTTGATTTATTACCTCAGTAAACATTGTAAACATGAGTTTATGGTCTCAATCTCTAGTTTCAAGTCTTCTTCAATACAGCATGATGTTCATTTAGTACATTATGGTCCATTTAGAGTCACACAGACCATAAAGCAGTTTTGCTGTTTTAGGTCTTTTGCTGTCTCATTTGAGGAGGTTGTTTCTGTTTGTATGGAAGTTGTGTTGTTGTATAAAGTTACTTATATCGAAATAGAAGACTTTGGTCATATCGCGCATCCCGACCTTCCTATCAGGCTTTTATTTTGGTGATCCAGTGACGTCACTGCAGCAAAGGAGAGACGACGTTAAGAGACAACCAGCTGCAACGTTGAACTCACTCTATGACTCTTTTATGTTTTTTAAACACGCGTCTTGTGAATCAAAGACGCCGTATTTGTTTCCAGTAGCTTCGTCCTGATTGGCTCCGCCCTCTTCCAGGTGCTGCAGGTGCGTTCAGGAGCAGAAAGGCTCTCGGGACGTTTTGAGCCGCCCGTCCTTCGTCCTCGCCGTTCTGCTGCTCTGGAACTTCGGCCTCCTCATCGTCGACCGTATCCTTCAGAAGACGATATTCAAACCCAGCTACTTTATTTATTTAATCATTAAACTGCTTCTTAAATCAGAAGGTTTGGGATCAGGAGGAGACTCGACGTGTCCGTTAGAGCTCGAGCATTCACTCCGAGTTGAGTGAGAAACTCTGTTTTTAAACATTAGTTTTCTTTATTTATAAGAAACAAGAAACTTAAGCAAACCAGATCTTAAATCAAATGATTCTAAATTGAATGAGTTATTATTTTGTCTGTTTGTTCTGTATTTTCTGAATTTTACAAAATAAAATATTTGTAAAACCTAAAAAAAGAATAAACTTTTCCATCAGAGCATCAGTTTGTAAAGACGAGGCTTTGGTTTCAATTATTTAATAAATATGTTGTTTATTGAGATCAAACCTTCACGTTTCCCCTCAGATATTCATTTCCAGTACAACGGCTTCCTGTTTGGGTTCCTGCTGCTCTCGGTGGCAAAACACCTGCAGGTTCGTACTCCTGACGTAGAAACAACGTTTTCATTTCAACAAGCTGCTGAAAGTCCAGTTTTGTGTTTTTGTTTCTTTGTGCGACAGAACCGACACCTGCAGGGGGCGCTGCTGTTCTCCGTCCTGCTCAACCTGAAGCACATCTACCTGTATGTGGCTCCGGCCTACGGAGTCTACCTGCTGAGGAGCTACTGCTTCACTGAGGACCACCACGGTACCACACACACACACACACACA